AACAGATCCACGCTCCTCTCCATAACTCGCAAACATCTAATCATCCGCCGTGGCACAATCATCTGCCAGGGGTTCTGTTCTGGGGCACTGGTTATCAGACCCTGTGNACGCTCCTCTCATAACTCGCAAACATCTAATCATCCGCCGTGGCACAATCATCTGCCAGGGGTTCTGTTCTGGGGCACTGGTTATCAGACCCTGTGCTTACGTTTGTAAATGACTCCTTTGGGATCCTCAACATCCATTTACAACTAAAAAGCGCCTATAAATCTCGGACGCGCATGGCAAGTTTAAAGTCGCTCGCTCCTCCAAGCTACACTGAGGCTTTCCTCCATGTCTGTCATATGGGTTTGAGCCTCTTCTAACTCATCGTCTATGCCGAAGTATTGCCAACTATTTTCACTTCCACAATCTTGTCTAAGCTATTCGGATACATGAGTGACTAATAAGGGCACTCCTCAAATGATCTGTCTCTGATAATGATGATGACTGGGGACTTTGGGGTTTACTATGAAACAAATATGCTTCAACTCACATCCGAATAATATAATCCATACCATTTCGCCAACCCCATCTTTGTCCGCAAGCTGTCGATGACTCCTGACTACACACATTACATAGACGCAATGTCCTCTGTAATAGCATTGTGAAGGCAGTAAGGTGTTTCGCCCAAGCGACAAAGATGTCCATACTTATAGGGGCATCGACGCTTACCTCCCCTCACCACCAGTTAGAGACATCTGCAGAACTGACCCAGTCGTACAGTCAGTGGCGCTCATGTATCGAAGTTATAGCTTTCAACGCGTAGCTTTCCCGCTTTCCTGTGACTGAAACTCCAAACATGCAACACGACCATGCACCTCACGTTTGTCTCCGATTTTTCGTCCCTGCGCGCCTTGAACTATTAATTTTAATAGAATCATCCGACTTTCAGGGCTAGTTAGCTCCTCTTTCCGCGCGGCACGTGATATAAGAAATCCAACCATGTCCGCAGTCGATATTTAACTGTGCACTGTGGAATTTAAGTCAAAGCTTGTCTTCTAATGGAGCCCTAGCAATCGCCAACACATAATAACCCCATCAACCTAAATGCCTACCAGCTAACCATATTTTTCAGATGAGCTAACTGAGAAGTCACCTATGCTTCAACCACGGTTTTTGGAACCATCTACTTATGCCCATTCCCAGCTTGTTGGACAAATATAACACAGCCTTTGACTTTATTGATACGCCACCTAGCTAATGCATGTCCTCCATACGGCCATACCCGTTCGCATCGACTGCATACCGTCATTTCCTACTATCTGCACCCAAAAGTCGATTATCGCTTTTGAAATTATAACCACTCTTAGCTGCCTACTATTTCGTGCCACAGTCTAGCCTGTGAACCAACACCCTCTAGCGGACTTTTTTGACACTTTCTCCCACTTCGATTCACCACATACGACTGTTTTATTGCTTCGTTTGAATTGCACCAATGAACCACCCCGTACCCTTGATTGACCCATGAATATCCCTGGTCCTTGGCTTAATTCGTCACGATTCCCAAGCCGATCCTAAAAACCCCATCAATTTCAACTGATGTACCAAAAATGTTCACATACAGGGCTGTCCACGGACTCACGTACGATGTCTCGATAACGGTACAGCAACTGGCATATCCACTCTGGTGGCTTGCCAGCAGTTCACCTGGTCTATGTATCCGGTCTATATCCGGGGGGAGCGTGTTACATGCATCCAAAAGACCACCTCAGCCTGCCGAACTTGCACCATACTCCAGAGTACTGGGCAACCCATTGTACTGTCTACTCGTGTTGCCAACAAACTAACTAATTTTCAGTATGCCGGTGAAGAAGGCAAAAGTTACAGCGTGTACTGACTATCTTATGAAAAATCCCAAACTTACTATCTGAAAAGAATTCTTTTATGTAGTGGGACGTTTGCTTCAAAATAGGAGGCTTTTTTCTACGTTAGTTGCAAACGGCTGCTCCACTTTGCGTTTGCGCGGACAAATCAATCAGAATTCCTGTTAACATACACTTAAAGTATTTCCAACTCTGATTAGTAGGGAAGCACAACAGGAAACCAACTACTCCACAAAACTTTCTACCGCCCTCACGGAGGTGTCAAGTCGAGGCATGGCAGCCACTAAAAATATGATTTCTGAGCCCAGAGCAGACCTAGAGTAAGCATGAACATATTTCAACAAAAACCGGGACACTCTGTGGTGATTTCAAAGTACCGAATAAGTACGGTCAAATGCTAAAACTTTCCATAAAGCTTTCCATGTTTCAAATTATGGTTTCAAAAAAAGTTGCGGTGAGTCAAAGGGTCGGCCTATCCACCTGTTAGGCGGAATCCCACACCAATACCGCTCACAGTCAAGCAGTGGTATGGCCAAGAAGCCTATCCCACACACAAATGTCTAAAAGTCTGGGTCGCTCGCCTATCCGGCATTAGATCGAGCTCTGAGTGGTCGAAAGTTGGGATCCCACAGAAAATCATGACTCAGGGTTTGCCGAATGGCGGTTGATAATGGCGCCTACTGGAGGCATCAGAATTCCTAGAATGTTATCGTGGCATCCGTGAGCTAACCCGAGGAAAATACCGTTACTACACTAGTGAAGCGTACTACTTAGCACAAGCTTGGCCTAGAGTACATTACCTAGTTAACTAGTTGGCCGCTGGTCTGTTCACCGAGCGTGAAATTCGGTTTGCAAAAGATTCGTCCTCACTTGAGAATATATTTTCAGTGTTCACCACCAACGAGCACACCCGAGCTACCAATATTCCGACAAGTAGAGCATTTTGTTTGGCTCCCCAAGCTGGGGAAACAGTCGTTCTAGCAGGAGAACTGCTGGCTGCTGCGGTTGGCTATGGCTTTGATAGCGCCATAAAAGTTCATTACCTGAAGACCTATTATTATTTGCAGATTCCGTGACTTAAACCAATAATTTCCAGCACTGCACTTTTGTGGAATTCATTTGAGAATAACCAAATCTAAAAAAGGCTGAGAGGTTGTTGGGGCCGGGCTAAGTATCATAAAAAAGCGTAGTTATCGTATTGGACCAACAAGTGGCTGTCACTCAACCTGTTTCTGCCACGAATAGTGGACCTTACTAAACTGGATCCTCTATTTTAATATAGACCCTAACAATGACTGAGGACACTTGTCATTCACTTGTTTTAGTAAGTCACTTCAATGTTTTTTATACTCGCACATGTCTTATTAATATGAATGGAAATGTGCCTTTTCAGGCGCGCAAACTTAACGCACGCTGAATCTGGATGTCAACTTAGTATCTGCAGCTCACAGTTCCCGACTGGCTAAATTGTACACAACTTGCGGGAATCGAAATTAACACTGCATCAAACGCGTAAACTTTAACCGTTAGCACAAATTAGTCACAGGAACAAGAATTTTTATATGTTCATTACGACGCGACTAAGAATCTCCAATGTTTCACATATAAATCAAGGTTTTTCTCGCCATTATTTTTGCACTGAACTCTAAGTCGTAATCTACCACCGACTCGTGAGTTCCTCGGGCTTACTCATCCCACTTGAACTTTTGTATCACCAGTCTAAATGACTGCGTAAGTTCTCCTTGATTGCCGCATGGGCTGTTGAAAATCTGGATAAAACCCGTCCTTATCAGCTTTAGAAATGGAGTCCGAAGAGGCGCATGCAGGTATGACAAATAAACTTTGTTTGCCACGTCGACCTACACTGATCTTAATTAAACCAAGGAATCGTACAGCGCAAGCACAACCGTTTACTTGGATCAAGGCCAGTAGATTGGCTTCCACTCTGAGGCTGTATGTAGTTCTTACACCACAAATTCCACGTGCCATTGCCCCAGGATCACCAGGTGCATGAAAAGTGAAGTGTCCGGACTCGTCCTAAGCAACGTGAGATACACAACCCGTATGTGTTTCGAACAGCACAAATCAACAGGAATGAAAGCTAAAGTTTCAGTAACGAGTGCTTGCGACCTGATATGACGTAGGGTATGGACACTGAAGTTTGTAAAATGAGGCAGATATCTGGAGTTCAGTAGAGAATTACTGCGCGGCAGAGAACCGTATGGTTGCAGGCTGTATTTTTTGCTGATGGATGGCGTACTCATCGGTTCACCCATCGAACACCGTGTGTGCCCCATTTTTTCGCGGGGGGATAAAATAGTACGAGGAACGTTGTAGTGCGCGCACCCTGTATGGTTTATGTGTGCGATTTCGCTCTGTTATTTAAGTACAAGGAGGACTATAACGCACTATCCAGTATTTTACTGACTGTTCTTGTATGAAATAGCAAGCCAGTAGGAACCTCCTCTATTTGGTGTCCACGTTTGACAATACGACAATAATATTGTCAACATATATATATGTTGACGATTTGATTGCTTATGTCTTGTGATTATCTGCAGGTAGTGAGAAGCTCATACCCCAGCCTGTCATACCTGTCGGCCCACCGCCTGTATGTTACATGCAAATGGGCATTTTAGGTGCAACCAACGGCCGGTTGTTCTGTCAACAACATGAACAAATTGTTTGATACCTCAAATAGTGCGCTTACGGATAAGCTACAAATGTTGTGATAATAGGCTTTCTGATGTTTCATATTTCGGTCATGGGGACTTCGTTGGAGATAACCACAAAGATTTTATGTTTCTAGAGTTTCAGCACCGACTGCTATAACAATCTGTTGTATTTGACCGATATTGCTATCATATCTTCCGCGCGTCACGATTTATCGCGTAAAGGCGTCTATTTGGCCTCGATGCGGTACGTGACCTTGAAGGTTGGTGCAGTCAAACAAGCCTGATGAATCATTGTCGCTACGAATTGTCTGCTTAAATATATAATCTGTTTACTGCAAAAGCCCGAAAATTTAGAATTCGAACTCTGAAGAAAGCTGGCTTTGGTATATGGGATTCATCAAGCCGAGATCCAATTGGCCGAAAATTCGAGGCATACTGCCAATCCCGTTTGAGTGTCCGCCGATTGCCCGCGGTGTCCCGTCCAGAAGCTGCTCGGTCTTCGAGAACTACACGTAAATTTCGAGTACGCACCACCGTACGTGGGTTTCTGACCTTTACCAAGCATTGAGTGTACCCGGACCACCTCTGGCGGTTATTTCGCCTGGAAGTATATCTTAGGAGTTCAGACCAATTGGCCAGCACGTAAGTAGTAGGATGTAGCGTTACTGTTGTTTCATGTCTGGCGCGCGGTGATGTTCCATACCTCCGCTACTCGATCTCCGATGATCACCACATACGAGACTTCTTTCTCACTGGCACTGCGAGGGACGAATGCTGATATACCGAACGACGGATATGATGGACCTGGCAACTTAACTCGTATTGTAGTCCAATCCATTATTTCAATGGTCATCAATCATTGACACGGTTCTCAACCTGAGGTCCAGCGTACGAACACGTTACAATACTTGTGTGCTTGTCGCAGCATAACCAAAGTGTACTTTTTCAGCACATGAGCGTTGCCGCAGAAATATGCATACCTAGTTAGGCTTTGGCGGTTCACCTTGAACTCAGCTTAATTTTTCATTTGTAATAGGCCTAAGCAACTGAATGTGCTGCACCAATCAGCCTCACGTTCATTTAGTATGGTATTCAAGATATCGCGACTCATTGTATCGCCGTGATTCATAAGGTTGCTGAAAACCCTTGATGACATTATAAACGAGGAATTCATCTGGGTTCCAGGTGAGTTTCCCGTCAAAACCAAATTAGTATGCGGATGAGTGTACAAGTCGAATTTCCTGGAATTCGGGTTCAAGTATAACATACAGTTGACGGATCTTAAGACAGCTTACGGACTTTGGTTCGAACCCAACCTCAGCATCTCGA